TGTTCACAATTGTAGCATGTTTTTGGCCTGGCATCTAAAACCTATTGTACTGCAGCTGCCACGACTTGCCCTTGTTCATTAATGTCTCTACATAATTTAATATATGTGTTTAAATCTTCAGGTTTCCATGGTCTAATGACTTCTCTGCACCAACAATTTGCTTGCTCATAAGCCAGTTGTTTTATTAATGGCATTGCTTGTTCTGTATTCCCAAAAACTCTGGTAGCTATCTGAATAAGCCTATCTACAAATTCAGTGTAAGGTTCATTAGCTCCTTGTATTACCTTAGATAATTGACCTTGTAAACCTCCATGTCCTTGTAAAGTCTTCCATGCCCTAACCGCATCTACAGCAATTTGTGCGTATACGCCAGGATCATATGTAATTTGTTGCTGCTGATCCTTATAAGGTCCCTTTCCTAACAACATATCTAGATTTCTCTGAGTATAACCAGCTGCTGCATTTCGCCTAGCCGTCTCCTTGCAAAATTCCTCATTGGCAACCTTCCATAACAGGTATTGACCTCCATTTATCATAGCTTTACACATATTAGACCAATCTGCTGGCGTCATGTTCAAGTTGTTAATGGATTCGACCAAGCTTACAGTGAAGGGTGCTTGAGGACCATAGATTGTTACAGCCTCTTTTAGGTGCTTCACTGTTTTGAAATTTAAACCATGGTAAATTTGCTGCCCTCCTACCTCAAATACAGGGCATGTTAATACTTGAGATCCTGTCTCAGGATCCCAACTATCAACTGCGGGGGTTGGGAGCCTCCTAGCATATGGAGGTGGTGCTGTTGATTGGATACTTATGCCCTCTGGTGATAGAATGGTGTTAGTAGCAGTCTCCTGTAGAGGTGGTGCTGTTGGTTGGACACTTACGCTCTCTGATAGAAAGGTGTTATTAGCAGTCTCCTGTTGTAACTTTTCCCCTGATGGCTTTTTCTGCTTTACACTTTCTTCCTCTGACTAGTTCGAGAGACCTTCTCTTTTACTTGAATCTTTTCCTCTGTCTGACTAACTTGAGAGACCTTCTCTTTTACTTGAATCTTTTCCTCTGTCTGACTAACTTGAGAGACCTTCTCTTTTACTTGAATCTTTTCCTCTTTCTGACTAACTTGAGAGACCTTCTCTTTTACTTGAATCAATATGTCTTCTCCTTCCTTTACCTTTGTCTGAACTGAAGGCTTTGGACTAAGCAAACCAGATACCAACGCCCACAATGTCAATGTGCCAACTGGCAGAGTTCCTGGGCTTTTCTTTTCTATTCTTTTTAAATCTTCACCATGTTATATATTTAACAACTCCTCCTTAAAAAGCCATGGGCTACATTTTTGTATTGTATCAACGTATGCCCTGACTGTTCTTGATTTTACTGAGATGCCTCCTTCCTCTAACAATTTACTTAACAGTCTTTCGGTTTGTTTTTTACTAATTGCTGATCCCGTATTTCTACTATAATACAACCCAACAAGATGACGCCAAACAAAACCAAGACAGAATGAAATAAAAATGGAACCACACAAAATCATTATATCAGCCTTTCTATCCTCCTGACATGTCCATCCGTCCTTTCTCCCTATCTGTTCCTCAGACACAAATAGTTTTTCCTCAGATGTGAACGGTTTTCTTCAGTCTCACTCATCTCCAGGGACAGGCAACTTAAAACAAAAATGAAGCAAAACAAAAGAGGAATCTTAGAATGGCTACCCATCCTCTCGCCCTGCCCTCAGGGGGCGAGCAGTTTACTTACCCTCAGTCGCTCCCTGTGGGAGCCATCAAATGCCGCAGTCTGGCTGGGCACAATTCAGGAGCCACTTGTCAAAAGAAACTAACTTTATTTTTAGAACTACAAACGCCAAACAAAACAGCTCCTCAGGAAAAAACCCTCAGAGCCCAACTGCCACCACCGGCTTCCCACCCCAGCCTCTCCACCTCCCCCAATCCTCCTGCTCTTGAGGCTGATTGGCTGGGTCACGTGGGCGGAACCAAAGAAGTCCCCCAATGAGCAGCTCCGTGGTCTGAAAGGGCAGGGAAACAGCTCAATGAGCATCACCGCAGAGGACCAATCAGCTAGAAGTTGCTGGGGCCGCTGTGAGCCAATCATCAGCCGGCAGCTGGAAGTTTGCTGGCAGCTGGAAGTTTGCTGGGGCCCCTTTGGCTGTGGCTCTCAACATTTTGTACTTGTTAAAATAGTTTACATGCTAGTCTTTTTTCCTACATTTTCTCTACATTTTTGTAAGAGTCTTAAGCCAGTTATTTTGTAGAATGTTCCACATCATTCTGGATTTTCTTGATTATTTCCTGGTCATATTTGTTTTAATCATTTTCAGTTATCCCTTTCAGTGTTTTCTAATTAGTAATCCAAATAGTGGTATCATCACTGGGACCTGTCTACCTATTTCTATTTAATGTAATTTTTATTTATTTATTTTTTTGAAAAATATTCTGTAGTTGTAAGTGGGCACAATATCTTTATTTTTTATTTTTTCACACAATATCTTTATTATTTATTTTTATGTGGTGTTGGGGATCGAACCCAGGGCCTTGCTCATGCTAGGCGAGTACTCTACTACTGAGCCACAATCTCAGCCCCACAATATCTTTATTTTATGTGTGGTGCTGAAGATTGAACCCAGTGCCTCACGCATACCAGGCTAGCGCTCCACCACTGAGCCACAACCCCAGCCCCTGTAATTTTATTTTAAAAGTTATGTTATGGTGGAAAAGATGAATCAAGGATGAATATGTGGCTCTTAACTTGTTTGAGTTTACTTTGTATTCCAACCTTATCAGATATTTTCTAACTTGATTGTTATTATTTTTGTAAATTGCCTTTGTATTTTTGGTGGGAATATAAGTAAGGATACAGTTAGAGGGCTAAGATGCTTAAAGAATATTTTTCTTAAGTATTTTTTTTCACTAGCTGTTATTAGTAAAGAACTCTTTTTGATTCTACTTTTTGAGAAATTTTTTTCTAACCTGTGTTAAGTCCTTCTTATATTTATAAGTGGAATATAAGAAGACTTCTTAATACCTCAGTAATCACTTGTGAACCTGAATTTGCCTCAAGAGTTTGGATGTGTAGGGCAGGGCATCTGGAGTTTCAAGTGGGACAATTGTCTATAAAATATAAACATACAATATCAGCTTGATTTGTTTCTTCCTCACGTAGGTGGAGTACAGAAAAATGCCAGTTGTTTAAGTATTAAATATTTGTTGAATTTTGGTTATTTAAAGTTTAACTTTGTTATGCATGAGCAGTTTAATTTTAGGAATATTTACTGAATGTCAGCACTGCACTTGTTGTGCATAACAGCCTTGGCTTGACTCAGTATAGTGAGGGTGACATAAAGGATAGCAGTGTTTCATCAGGAAATGTATTTTTAGCTCCTAATGTATATCAGACACTGTTTTGAAGCACAAGTCAAGATATAATTTCTACCCTCAAAGGAATGTGCCATAGGGTGTTGCAGGCTACTGGAGACTGGGAGCCCAGGGATAGAAATCTAAATCTAAGCAAGCCAAGGTGCTTAATGAGTGACAGCAAGGCAGAAAATCTGGGCCAAGGCTATTCCAAGCTGAATAATGTTTGATGAGAAGTCACAAAGGCAAAAAAGTCAGCTATTTGGGGAATTGCAAATAGGTGAAGTTAAAGCAATGTTTTTCAAAGTGTGGGCCTCTCTCTGATTTGTTGGAATTATCTGGGAACAATTCTTAAACACCTAGGTCATTCTTAGCCTTCCTGATGATTCTCTAACTCACTGAAATAGGAGAAACACTGGGCTAGAATTAAGGGACAGGAAAATTACAGTGTAATATGTTACATTAAAGGTATATATAAAGTTCTATGATTAGATTAATTTTTATAGTATAGAAACCATTTTCATTTAAAACTCTGTAATTCCTCTATCAGTAAATGATTTCTTTTGGGAAAATGGGTGGGCAAATGGGATGGATAGTACTATAAATCTCATTTTTTTATTCCCAGATAATTCTAAAAACAACTTTTTATTCATCAAATTTTTTTTTTTTTTTTTTAGTCCAAAGACAAAATGATGAGAGGCTCTCGCAGAGGATGCGTTAGACTAAGAGTGAGTATTTTATTCATTTTTATGAAAACCAATTTTGACAGAAAAAGATGTATTTTGATGGAATCATGGAAGCCCAAATTTAGTTTAGCTTCCTGTCTTTTACAGGTAAGGGACAAGGGGAAATATTAAATGAGTTGTAATGTTGGTTGTATAGCAACAGTAAAAAACCTCTGAGAAATCCCCATGTTAGCCACTTGGTTTTTCCTGTTCAATGCTATTTAATAATGTGTGTGTGTGTGTGTGTGTGTGTGTATGTGTAGCATATGTAGAAATATGTAATTTCTATAGGACACATATATAATTTGAGCCACATATATAATTAATTTTTTCTGGTAGCTTCATTTAAAAAAGTGAGATTAATATTTTGTCCAAACCAATATATCAAAATATTATTTCAACATGTAATCAACACAGAAATTATTAATAAGATATTTTACATTCTTTTTTTCATAGCAAGTCTTTGAAATCTGTGTTGTCTTTTACACCAAAGGCAGATCTCAGACTGGCTGCACTTCAGGGGAGGGGCTCAGTGGCCACTTATGGCTAGTGGCTACCTTATTGGACAGTGTAAATCTCTGATTTTCATGCTGCTTTTGATTGCTCATTCAATTTCTATCACTGTCCAAATAGGTACAAGCTAGAAAGAGTGCATGACTGGAGACACAGTTTTCTAGTATTCCACTGTATCTAAAGAAGAGTTTGCTTCTATCACTAGTAGGTAAATCAGCTTTTTCAAGATAATGCTTATTTTATTCTGCCATTTTTTTTTTTCCTGTATCCTTTCTTTGCTTGTTTTGGTGCTAGAAGTTGAATCCAGGGTGCCTCTTTACTTTTGAAGATGTGAATATATTTGGTTAACATATTGTTGCCTTTTTTATGAATCCTTGGTAGAACCAATAGGTAACTCTCAGAAGGTAAACTATAACTGAAAAATTGTGATGCTGAGATAGGAGTCTAAGTGTGGCAGATTTACAGGATAGAAATGAGATAGGCTTGTTGTGTGCAGATGGTGAATATGTGATAGCATAAAGAATTTTAAAAATTCAACTTATACTTTTTATTTTTAAATTTACTTTGGTTTCTCTTTTTGACTTCTTGGTATAGTTGCTTTTCTAAGCACTTGCTGTTGACCTCATTCACTATTCAAGTTTGTCTTAACTGCTTTTTTGGCTTGATATAGGCTCAGTAGCAAGACCTGGGCACAGCTGTATTGAGACAGCTGAATTTAGTGTGGATTTGGGCTGCTGTCTCATTGTCATAATTAGCGCACTGGTTTTATTTGTTTGTTTTGTTTTTGCTTTATAAATATAACTTGATTAATCATTAACTCCTGTAACTACCACTCAGGTTAAGAAATAGGATTTTGCCTGCTGCCCCTGAAGCTTTTCTCTGTGCTGCTTACCTGTCTCCTAAAGTAATCACTTCTGTTATAGTAACTACTTCCTTCTTTCCCCCCCCCCCCCTTGGGTACAGGGGATTGAACCCATGGGCACTTAACCACTGAGCCACATTCCCAACCCTTTTTATTTTTTTTTATTTTGAGACAGGGTCTTGCTAAGTTGCTGTGGCTGACCTTGAACTTGGGATCCTCCAACCTCAGCCTCCTGAGTCACTGAGATTACTGATGTGTGCCACCATTTCTGGCCACTTCTTGCATTTCTTTATCAATTTATTACTCAAGCATGCATCCCTAAATTCTACAGTTTTATTTTTCTTATTTTAAAATGATGGCTTTTTTTTTTTTCCAGAGTTTATCTGTTGAAGAATCCAGAGCCTTTGACCTGTAGGAATTTCGATAGTATAGATTTTACTGATTGCAGACTGGTGCATTCAGTGTGATCCTCTGCCCTCTGTTTTTGCTGCAGATTGACAGCTGCATCCAGAGAATGGATTGGACTCAGATTTGATCCCATTGGCAAGACTACTATAGGCAGTGGTGTGTTCTTTTAGCAGGAGATAAAGTGTCTGTTTTTTTGCTTCTCATTGATCTTAGTAGCCATTGATGTTTAGTGCCTACATGCATTAAATCACTGGGGGTTGCAAAATGATGACAGTCTGTCATTGTTTAATTTTTACTAGGAATAATTTTTTAAGGAGACACTTCATCTATTATTTGGTTACCCAATGATGCAGTCAGTTCAAATAGGTAAGATAATTGCTTGATTACTTCCTTTTACTTAACCAGTTTTCAAGGTAATAGATTGACTTCAAATACCACCCATTTAAATATACCCCAAAGAATTAGAAGCAAGGACTCAAATATTTATGCATCCATGTTCATAGAAGTGTTATTCACAATATTCATGAGGTTGAAGCAATCCAAATGTTCATACACAGATGAATGGAAAAACAAAAGGTGATATATAATACAATAGATTATTATTCAGCCTTAAAAAGGAAGAATTCTGACACATGCTCAACATGGATGAACCTTGAGGCTATTATCCTAAGTGAAATAAGAAAGCCATAAAAAGACAAATACTATATGATTTCTCTTATATTAGGTAGTTGGATTAATCAAGTTTATAGAGACAGGAAGTAGAATGAGGGTTTCCAGGGACTGGGTATAGGGGAAATGAGCAGTTATCATTTAATGGGTATGGAGGTTTAGTTTGAGAGAATGAAAAAGTTCTGGAGATTCATGGTGATTATGGTCATACAACAGTATGAGCAAACTAACATGCATTTACTTACTCACAAATTTCACATTTATTTACTCACAATTTAACTCACATTTTATTTACTCTAATCCAACCTCTTAGTTAAATTTGCAAAGGTCTCACAAGACTGAAATCAAGGAGTTGACTGGGTTGGGTCCTTATCTGGAGGTTCCAAGTTGCTGGCAGAATTCAGTTTCTTGTGTTTGAAGAACACAAGATGTCTGTTTTCTTGCTGGTTGTCAGCAGCACATATTGCCCTATGGCCCCTTCCATCTTCAGGTCAGCAGTCCACATTGAATCCTTTTAGTACTTTGAATCCTTTTGACTTCCTGTTCTGCTACCAGTTGTACCCAAAACCCTGCTTTTTAAAAAGCTTCATTTGTTCTGGGTTGTGGCTCAGTCCTAGAGTGCTTGCCTAGCATGTGGCCCTGGGTTTGATCCTCAAGTATCCACCAAAAATGAAATTAAATGAAATAATATAAATGAAATGAAATGAAATAAAATAGACTTTATGTGATTAGATTAGGTAAGACCCTCCAGATGATCTTTTAAAAAATATTTATTTATTTTATTTATTTATGTGCAGTGCTGAGAATCAAACTCAGTGCTTCACACATGCTAGGTAAGCGCTCTACCACTAAGCCACAACCTCAGCCCCAGGTGATCTTTTTACCCACTGTTGTCTCATCATATTCAGTTTCCACCCACACTAAAAGATGAGGTTATACAAGGACAAGTCTGCTTGCCACATAACATGACAGAGAAGAACTAGACATTCCTGTGTTTAAATCTCATTTTACCCTTTGCTTTGCTGACTGAAACAGGGAAGCTATTTTGTAAGCTTTCTGAGCTAGAACTTTCTCTTCTTTAAAGTGGGGATTATAATACCCTGTTTGCAGAATTTTGTGAGGATAAGGCACCTCGCACTTAGATAATCTGAGTTTTATTACTATTTTGCATGTGCACTCTTGTGGAGCATTGTAATTTAGATTGCCATTTGGCTTTCTGTTTAAGAAACAACTGGAAAGGTTGTTTGAAATATAGGTTCCCAAGTCCCACCTTCCAGACATGCTGTTTTAAAGTAGTATTCCAAAACCTTTATTTTAAAACAATATAAATAAAAAACCAAACAAATAAATAAATAAAAATGGATTTTCTTGGTGATTGTGTTGTGCAACCAAGTTTGGAACCACTGGTGTAGGAAGAATCATAGTGATCTGGGGTGGAATCTTAGAATTTCACCTCTATAAAGATAACATTATATACCTTGAAGGGATGTGAGATTTAGCAATTATGTAAGGATAGGGTTTGGCACTTAATACAGATTCAGTAAATGATAACTTCTATGGATGATGATGATGATGATGATGATAACAACGATGACGAGGAAATGATATTAATGATGATGATAGATAATGCATCTAGATTTCAAATGAGCTTAATGAGTTATTACTGACTGCACCATTGATTTGCTTCTCCCCCATCCCATCCTGTACTCCAGGTGCACTATACCTTTTGTTCCCACACTGTGTGTGCTTATTCCTCATTGCTTGTGACAAATTTTTTTATTATATTGTGAATTTTCTGTACCCTCTTGCCTGGCAACTTCATCTTTTAAGAGACATTTCAAATGTTATTTCTGTTCAGACTTTCTGACCTACACCCTTTGAGCAAGTTTGGTGGCTCTTTTCCTCTACCTTTTTACATTTGTCACTTATAGTCATAAAGTACTTGTTGCAGAGTATTACATGTTAATTTGTCTCTTGTCCCCACTTGATAGTAAGTTCCTGTCCACTGTAACATTTGCTTGGCGCATAATAAATAAGCATTAAAAATATTATTAATTTTATATACTTATAAAAATGATGACTACATACTGGAGAATTTGCCTTTTCTATGGCTTATGTACAGAAAAACTGTAGGAATTACTTCAAATGAGATAATGCTGACTTCTTAAATGAGAAATATGAGCTAGTAGTTTGATAGATTTCTAAAAAAACAAAACAAAACACCCTTGTGGTTTTAGGCTACATGAAAGGAGAATGGGCTGGGAAAATGGGGGGAAAGAACCATAGGGGAAGTGCAGATCGGGGCCTGTGTTAGGTGAATTTCACATGTACTCCCATGGTAGAAGGATAAAAACAGGTTTCCCAAGTTGTTGCTAGGTAGTGTAAAACCCTTGAAACTTTGACTGTTGGTTACACAGTATTTGCCACTAGAGGGTACTGTTTCCTTGATGTAAGAAGGGAAAGTTGGTTGATGCTTAGGTTCTGAACTTACCCCGACCCCCATATTCTAGTCGGAAGCAAAATACTGACATTTTCAGGTAATATCTGCAAA